TTAACTCATTTCCCCCTGTAGTCAGTTATTTACAGCCAGCTTTTGTTGTGTTAACTAATTAAGTTTAGATTCAGCTCCTCAGACAGTTCAGAGAAAAAAACGAAATAGCCTCCAGCCTTCACTCAGCATATTGCTCTCGCCGCTATAAAGCGGGGTGAAAAAACAACAACCACCCCACTCCTTCTTTGAGCCCTTAAACTCTTGAGCTGTTTTGGAATAAAAATACCTTCCACCAAGATCAGGAACTGTTAAGCCACTCACGACTGTCAGCACTCTGGGACGGCCTTTACAGATCGCCCTCTTTCACGCCCGGGGTTATGAAGGGAATTTCAAGCACAGACCATGAACTGCCATCCTATGGTTGTGCCAAACCAACCTTCTTTTCAGTCTTCCCTACAGGAAACCTTCAGTTTACAAAAATCTTTCCAGAAACCACTCTGGATGCCAGATCCAGCTGCTCTTCATGGAGTTCTCCGTTCAAGCAGCCATTCGTGCTGGCAGCTAGTCCCGCCCTCCTATATTAAAAATATATTTCCTTTCATCTAATTAAATGATAACTGGTAGGGGGAAAAGCAATTCTCCCCCTGCACATCCCCTTTTTACAAAGTGTGAGGCAAGAGAGGCAAGAGAATGAAAGAAAAATATTTTTCCATAAATGGCAAAGAAGGAGAAATCTCAGAGGGAACCCCCATCTGACTTACCCTTCCACCAAGGAAACCTTCAATGATCTCTGGGATTTCTAAAAATTTCTGTTCTCCAGCTATATTCCAAGGTATGATGCTAGATGGACCTTCAAACACCAATGATTTCATGAAGAGGTCAGCACTATAACTTCTGCCGTGGGGAAACTGGGGTACAAACTCCTCATCTTTGCTGCCTTCTAGGTACTACGTGCTCTCCAGATGCCAACAGCACCCATTGGCTTCTCAGCAACTATGGCCGATTCAGTGCCCTCGCAAGCATTGAAGAGTTCTTGTCAGTGAATGTTAATTTTAATGCGGTGAGTGAGCATATGTAATTCTGAAGCTAGCAAGCAAACAAGAACCCCTTTCTCATCATATACACAAAAATTGGAGCCTTGAATTGCCCTAAGGTCTCAAGGCTACTTTCTTAGGTTTATTTTTCTTACATTTGTCTTCTGCTGAATTTATTTTGAGCATCTTGAATTTTTAAAGAAAAAAGTGACAGCTGCTTCAGAAATCAGTGCATTGGCTCAGTCTGGTGTTGTTAGGACTAGGTGAAACGTATGCATTTGGTTTTCCTGCCTAAGTACCTTACTCTTCTCTCCATGCAACCACATCTTGTTACATAGATTATATTCTATTGCCTATTGCTATATATACGAATGATGATCTCAACTTATACATTTAACTGCAAGCAGCTCAAAATAATTAAAATAAGGTTTCAAAACAATTATAGACCATAAATTATGATGGCCAGTTTACTTACTTAAAAAATATCAGTCTTTGGCCATGCAGACCTTGGCAGGAAGTATTAGAGAATACTGTTCCAGAAATGTTGTTAAGCATGGATGAAGCATGTTGTAAAGAGGCTGCATATAACTAGCACAATGTACATTTTCAGGTTTCAGTCATGGCAAAACTGTCTTCAAGCCAGTTGGCTGAATTACTCATAACTCTGGAAGCCTGGAATGATGGGAGCCTTCTAATGGAGATCATGAGCCACTTGGACACCATGGCAGATCTGGCCAGATTCCTTGACCAGCTGAATAAGTTTGCTGTGGTACATGAATTTTGTTTAAGGGGTTTGGAAAAGATGGGGAACAAAAGGCTTGGGCAAAGATGGACAAACAAATTTCTGCCAGATGCTGCTATTCAAATATTTTACACAAACAAAGATAAAATCTAAAGGAGATGTGCCCAATTTTAAACATTTCTTATTTATTTGTTAAATTTATTTGCTGCCTATAATCACTGTGGGGCTAATCTAGACGACTTACAACAATAAAAATGGAGAAATTAAGTGTAAATATAACAATAGAAAAACAATGGAACAATAGAATAAACCAGAAAAATAAAACATGAGAATACGGCAATATGAGAATAAAGATGAGTGGATGGAAAAGCAAAGAGCGAGGGGGAAAATGGGCTTTGCCACTAATCTACTAGCCATCTTCAGTGTGATATTCCCCTACTGAGCTCCCAGGCAATCATCAAAGCCACCTCTATTCTAAATATTCTATTTATAGAATATTTCTTATTATTTATTTGTAGAATACTATATTCTATGAATATTCTAACTTATAGAATATACATTTTTTCTATTCAAAATACTTACATGTATCAAGATTATTCTTTAGGAAATGTACGATTTATATAGGGAATCGATTTGAATACAATCCTAAATTGAAGAGGTCTTCAAGGACTCAGTGTTGTCAACATTTGGCAGGCAATGGTATTTCCCATACTTTATCACAGATAAAAAGAAAAAAAGCATTCCTCCCCTAAATAATATTTTGCAACCATGACAGGAGTCCTCAACTAAAAGTACTGTAAAGGTCACTGTGCAGCTTTTGAAGAAGAGGGTGTCAGAAATGGGGGCAGTGAGGGAGTTGACCTAGTTACCAATTGGGCTTGTTCTTGACAGATGGAATTGCAGAGCAGTGACAATTGTGCTTTGATTCTTGGCATCGCATTGCGAAAATTAGCTGTCAACTTTGCAAAGTTCAAACCCAAGGATTTCACCTACTGGTTCCAATCTGCGCTCCAAAATGTGCTGCATGCTGTGAACAGAACCCAGGTGGTCTCCCTCCCACTCAGGATATCTTGTGACTCCTACCAACAAATGTGAGTATGTCTTCCATGCATTGCAGCTGTTTCCCTCCTATAAAAAAAACCTTGGCTCCATTACCCCATGACAAGCAAGGTTGTTACTGGCCACTAAAAGATGTAGTCCCATGGTCACGGAGCTGTAGGAAAGCAGGGAGTAGGAATGGAATCATCTTGATCTGAGCAATAAATTGCTCAGGGAAACAGACCAAACCACGTTAAGTAGCTTTACAGTGTCAAATGAGGCTCCACTGATTCCTTATATTATCTGATTCTTGTTAAACCAAAAACTGCAATTCTGGGATACTAACATAAGACACTGACCAAAATGTCCAAAACTGAAGTCTCTGACCCAACCTGCCCTCTAAAGTAGATGTGTTGAGAATTATTGTCGTTGAATAGAGATACACTTATTACTGCAAAACTTATTTAGCTAAGAGTGAGGTTCAGCAGTGAATCTCTGCTTTCCATATGCCATTCTTTTTAGCACTTTGTGACTTGGGAGACTCACAGGGTCCATCTGCATGTTCTACTAACCAAACCACAAAAATGCTTCACTGGCTGTTTTTGTGGATCTAACATTGTCTTCATCTCATCCCCAGACCACTGCATAGACATTATATATTAGCTTAACCCAAGCCTTGCTGCATGCCAAAAGAGGAAACAGTTAACAAGGTTTGGGGTGGGAAGTGTTTGAAACTGAATACATTTTGATCCAAAGGCAGTCGGATAAACAGAGGATCCTCCTCACCTTTACCTATAGAACACACCTACGCCATAGAGTAAAGCCCATTCTAGGGAGGTCAATGATTATAATTTTTACTACAGGCAAGTATGAAGCTTTAATACAGCAACTGTATTAAATAATTCAGCCATTATATATGTATGTACATACGTACGTACGTACATACGTACGTAGATACATACATACATACATACATGTATATATTGTGTATGTGTGTGCGTGCACGTGTGCGCATGCACACACAAAATATGTGTATGTATGTATCAGTGGTGGGTTTCAATTTTTTTTTAGAACCTATTCTGTAGGTGTGGCCTATTTTGTGGGTGTGGTGGTCATGTGACCGGTTGGGAGTGGCCAACTTGTAAAATGTGGTGAAACTCAATTGTGATCATAAGTTCTCTTTCTTTTTTCTTTCTTCCTTCCTTCCTTCTTTCTTGTATGTCTCTCTCTTCCTGATTCTTTCTTTCCTTCCTTTTTCCTTTCTTCCTTCCTTCTTTCTTGTGTCTTTCTCTCCAACTTTTTTCTCTTTCCTTCTTTCTTTCTCTTTCTCTTTCTCTTTCTATCTTTGTCTCTTTCTCTCATCTCTCCCTTCCTTCCTTCCTTCCATTCTTTCTCTCTTACTTTTCTCTTCTCTCTCTCACCCCCCTCTCCCTCACATACACACACACACACACACACATACCTTCCAGTTGGCAAAAATTTCTGCTTTGCCAGCTGGGAGGTTGGCAAAGAAGCCTCGTTTTCCCTGCCGCCAGCAGCACTTGGAGGAAGGAGGCAGGGAAGCGAGCCCTGGGCCTCATCTCTGCCTCCTTCCTCGAGAGCTGACTTTGAGGATAGCCAGCCTCTCCCGCCACTGCGCCCTTCACTCGCCTTCCACCTGGAGGCTCTGCCAGCGGTTGCCTCCTGAGAGAAGCTTGGGAGAGAAGCTTGGGAGAGAACGTCCGCGAGCCTCCCAAGGACACTGGGGGGGAGGGGTAGTGGTGGCCTCCGCCGCCGCTGCTGCTGCTGCTGCTGCTGCTGCTGCTGCTGCTGCTGCTGCTCCCAGTAATGCAGGCTTCTCAGAGAGCATTAAGTTGCAGGTGCACCAATTCCAGCAACTGTGTTTTGCCGTGAAACTTGCTGTCTCGGCAAACAGAAGGGGACATTCTCCCAGTAGCATCTCAGGCAACTTTCTCTCTTGCCGCGCAAGGAAGCAAAGCCAACTCTATTTATTTATTTGGTTGGTTGATTCCTGGACCATGGGAGGCGATCCAATGGTGCTTTTTATGCCTGCGGTGACCCATTTTGTCACTTGCATCTCGCCCCGTGGCTCTCACTCGAGATTCCGGCTGATTTTCTCCCAAGCAGCAGCCGCAGTTGCGAATGCCAGGGAACCTCCCACTCCAGCCTCCCCCGCCCTACTACATTAAGATCCCCGTGCTTCCCATTCCTGATATGAAGCCCGCAGGCCATGCGAGCAAGCAGGTGCGTGAGGTTCCCCGATGATCTGAGAGGAGCCGGGAAGCTCCAAACTGCACCCAGCCATCCTTACTCCCTCCTGGCTAAGGGTGGAAGCACCTGAGATGGCACTGGGAGAATGTCCCCTTTGGGTTGCCGGGACAGCAAGTTTCAAGGCAAAACGCAGCTACTGGAATCGATGCGCCTGCAACTTAATGCTCTCTGAGAAGACTGCATTACCAAGAGCAGCAGCAGCAGCGTGCACCACCACCTCCCTCGATGTCCAGCATCGAAGTGGTGGGAGAAGCTGGCCATTCCCCAAAGCCAGCACTTTGCCCTTCACTCTCCTTCCACGTGGAGGTTCTGTGGGCGGGGCACCTCCCATTTCACCTCCCGAGAGAAGCTTGGAAGAGATGCGCAAATGGCCACAGGGCACCCTTTCTATAAATATCAGGACTTTTTTAAAATGCCGCGGGACGTGGGACAAATTATTAAAAATCGTGACTGTCCCTCCAAAAGCGGGACGTCTGGTCACCTTATCATATGTAATCCATTCTGTCCATGACTACTGTTACCCTGGCCTTATTTGCTGGCAGCACAACGATAGAATTATCCTTTCTCAATTCCCGGAGGGCCAACATTTCAGATTTTGGTAGAGTAACACTCTGCCTATGACTGGTAAGGCACCCTATCAGTCATTGTCTGGTGGAATTTTTCACCTCTTCCATAGCCTCGAGTAGAAAAATAATTGACTTGATGGCTGCAGCAAAATCAACCAGTTTGGCATGAATCAAATTAATGGGCCTATCATGTATGCAGTGGCCAAATTGATCAATGATGTATAAAGGCAAATATCTCTTCAATGGTAGTTTTTACACTGATCATGTTAGCAGAGGCTAATGAAAGCTAAGTGGATAATATATTTTAATTGCAATGTCTATCTCTTCTTTTATAGCTATAGCTGGAACTCGTATTTTCCCTCCCATTTTTCTTTCTTTCTTTTTTAAAAATATATTTTTATTGTTTTTGCATTTAAAATAATGCAGCACAGCAAAGCTGTTATGGCCATACAATCACAATATATACACGTAATCTCATCCATTAACTTTCAGCCTACTTAGTACATTATCTATCCTTCTATCCAATCACATTATTTACAATTTGTTCCAGTCTTGTCACCTTGTCTTATACCAATAATAAAATCTGTTCCAAACTTCATAATATTCCGACTCCTCTTTATTTTTTAATTCGAGGGTAAGCCTTTCTGCTTCTGCACAGGCCAATTTTTTTCTAATTATGTCTAACTCTGATGGAATACTTTCTTTTTTCCTATACTGTTCATAGGTTATTCACACCGCAGACAATACATGGATAACTAAATAAAGCACATCTTTCTTATACCCCTCTAATATTATGCCTAGGAGGAAGATTTCTGGTTTGAACAGAATTTGATCTCCCACCATTTGTTCCAGCCATAATTGTATCATTCTCCAATATCTTTTTGTCTCATTGCATGTCCACCACATATGGAAAAAGGGGCCTGGTGTTTTTTTTGCACTTCCAACAATTTGGGGCCAAATTTTTAAACATTTTATTTACAGATACAATCAAGGTTTGCACAGGACCGGAAGAAGGAAGGTATTGCTAAAGATTACACAGTGGTAGATAAATTTTTGATAGAGACAGAAAACAAGTTGATCAATGTGCTGTATAGATTTTTATTGGAATATAAACTTGAGGGAGAACATGTCAAAGAAACTATGGTCGCCTGGCGAAAAAAATTGGTTATAATGTGGAATTGGCTAAGTGGGAAAAACTTTGGATACTTAATCGGAAACTAACATTGGCTACAGCGTATAAAGAAAATCTTTATAAGATGTTCTACAGATGGCATCTCCCCCCAGCATGGCTCTCCAAAATGTTAAAAAATCTGGCCCCAAATTGTTGGAAGTGTAAAGAAAAACACCAGGCACTTTTTATCATATGTGGTGGACATGCAGTGAGGCCAAAAGATATTGGAAAATGATTCAATATGGTTGGAACAAATGGTGAGAGATCAAATTTTGTTTAAACCTGAAATTTTTCTTCTAGGCATAATACCAGAGGGGTTTAAGAAAAATGTACTCTATCTAATTATACATGTACTAACTGTGGGGCTCATAACTTTTGTGCAGTATTGGAAAAAAAGAAAATACACCATCAGAGCTAGATATCATCAGAAAAGTGTTGGCCTGTGTGGAAGCAGATAGGCTCACTCTTGAACTTAAAAATAAAGGGGAATCAAAATATTTTGAAGTTGGAACAGATTTTATGATTGGTATAAGACAAGGTGACAAGACTGGAACAAATTGTTTATATTGTGATTGGACAGAAGGATAGATAATGCACTAAGTAGGCTAATAGTTAATGGTTGAGACTAATTGTGTATAATGTGAATGTATGGTCACTTCAACTCTGAGGTACTGCATTGTTTTAAATGTAAAAATAATAAAAATATATTTCAAAAAAAAAGTATACATTTCACTGACTGGATTCACAAAGCACGATAACCTAGTTATGAAATTAAACCATTTTCCAGGATTACTTTAGGAATCAAGTATCTAAATAAGCTGAATTCACAGACCCATGCTAAGACCCATTTTTTTCCCCTGAAACTAGTCAAGAGCAAAACCGCATTTAGTGTGTTATGCAAATGCAGCTTTGAGCCCTTTAGCTGACCTGGTAGAATATATTGGAAAATATGATGGAATAATCAATCATTGATTCTTTGCCATGGAGAAAGTATTGCAAAGGGACACATTTTGAAAATTGTGTAGCCATAGCTGTCCTTAACTGACTTAGAAATTTAAACAAGTTCAGGATGGGAGACAATCAGGAAGATCAGAACTGCAAGTTAGACTGAGAAGGAAAATAACTATCCCAGAGGAAGCCATGGTGCAGCTGACAAAATGGAGCTGAGAGTGGGGGTGTTTTATACCTTCTTTGGGCTTGTACTTGAGTTCCTGTGCAAGAACATGTCCTTTAATATTCTATTGGCTATTGTCAGAGTCCTATGGGGTCATATAGGAGTTATGTAGGGGTCATAGCTGGCTTTATAGGCAAAAGAGGAAAGCAAATTCTAGTTGCTTACCTGAGCTAATCTGGTCAATCTCTGGTTTATTGTTTGTCTGAACGCCCAGGTTTCTGGCTTCAAACTGCTGGGGTGCTATGAAGGGGCTTGTGTTCTGAAAGATGTTGGGCTTAATGTGTGGCTATTGTGGTTTAATAGATTTAATCCTGTTTTAGATCTTGAGTTAGGGGGCTGCTTCTAATCCTACCATTCTGCCTTTGTTCAGACTTCGCTGCAGAGAATTTCAAAATATCCTGTCTTGAATAGATTACCAAATCTGCATTTCTAAAAGGTGCCTCCTCAGTTTCTGTTAGCAGGCAGGGAGATTGGAGCTGCTTTCTGCCTCTTAAATACATGTTTCTCCATTTCTCATTTAGGGAAATATAATATTCTGCCTTTTTTTAATATTCCTCAAAATATTTCATTCTTGGGGGGGAGGGGCTTCCCTCAACTGAGGGAAAGCAACAGCAAAACTCTTTCAATATTGCTGCCACAAAACTGCTTGGTTGTGTCTTTAACGTCAGTAGAGATCAAGCCTGAATTGGCAGAGCTTTTACCTTCCTTTACTTGTCAAATGATTATGTCTCCTAGACTAAAGGGATTTAACAACATCTATTCCAACATCCCAGCGGAAAATGCTGCAAACATTTTTGGATTCATCAAAGCATTTTTGATGTCAAAAGTCAAATCAGGTAACTATACCTAGGAGACTCTAGCCTAAGGTGACCAGATTTTCAGATTGTTAAAGAGGGCCACACTGGCGGGGGGGGGGGGGGGGGGCGCTTGATTAAAAAATTTATACGGAGCAACAAAAATTTTCATACAACGCAAAAATAGTA